TGTACAGGTACTGTCATAGAGGAGCGCTTGCCAACTGGGTAGGGGTAGAGCAACGAGTTTACTATGCACACAAGAATCCTGCAGCATAAGTGCATTTTCTACTTCACTGCAGCAGCATAGATTGGCCTATTTTCTTGATTACCAAAGAGTAAAATGAATTAGAGTCAGGTTAGGATAGCCGCTGGTTTTCCAGTGTGGCTAGAGATTAGCAGCTGTTCTCTTCAATGAGTGTAAAATTGTTACATTACATGTGAGGGAAAAGCTACAAACCTGTTGGAATCTACCTGTATCTCTTGCAATAAGCAGCTCAGATGGTGACTAACCATCTAGATTGTAATTTTCGTTGCTATGATTTTGCCAAACTAAACCACTGTTGGGAAAAACCTGAAAATTTTCCATGTGAACTCCTTGCTTCACACTGATTTTCGTTGACCTTTTAAACTGAGATTATCTAAGAAAAGCTTGTCTGTGTAGAAAAAAAAAAAATCTTAATTTGATGAGACATGAAGGACAGTCATCCAGGATAGTTCTTAATGTTTTTCTGAAAATCAGCCTAAACCCAATTAGCATATGGATGTCTACAAACTGTAGCCATCTTGTTTGACACTTCCCTTCCTGCCTTCTAGTTTTTGCAATAAACAGGACCAGGGAAAATAAGGGAAAACAGTTCACAGTCATGGAATTAAAGACAGTGCAACAATACCACATTCTGAAGATGCCTTACTTCTGAGTGCTTAGTTAGCAGCATCTCATGATTTTAATCTGATAAGAAAAGTTTCTCGTTTGTATATGTATGGTGTCAATATGCCTTTCAGTGAAGATGCTATACCTTAAACTACTGGCAACTGAATTTACTCATTTTGCATAGTCATTATGGTACAAAGTATAGTGCGTCACATACAATTTTTCAATCAAGCAGTGCATTATTTGTGAGTTTTTCAGCATCGTTTGAATGTCTCAAATTAAATTAAAATTGTGAACAAAAAGAAATACTGAAAATGTGCTCAGTAAACTTTAACTTTTCATTGTTGCATACATAATTCTCTGAAAATTTTCTAAATTGAACTATTCTGTTTGTGTTTCAGAATTAGAAACAGTTTTTATATGAATTATGCAAAATCTTACACAAAGACTAATTTTGTTTTCAGTTTAGCATTTTTTATTTTTTTCCCGAAAAATATTTTTTCTTTTTTGCTAATTTATTGCATTCTAAGTGAACCTGCTAGTTAAGAACATCTTTTAAAGAATTTTTATGGATTTTTGTCTGATATATGCACAGCATTGGCATAAATTTCTCTGCTTGGTACATCTGTGTGCTGAAGGTTGTAGCAACAGTTCTGTTCTAGAGAAATATGTGCTGGGTAATTAAAATACTGGCATATAAAGCAAAAACTTAAGCATAAGAGTGACCTCACTGTTAAGAGTATTATTCATAAAGTTCCACAGGGAGCTTTCTTTAAAGAAAAATAAACATTCTGGGATCTCAGTATGTAAAGATATGTCTGTAGGTGTATATTATACACACACACAAATTGTATATGTGAATCAGATCATCTAACAACTTATATATGCTGTATGGTCTGATGTACATATGATTTATAGAGCAAAAGCTCCTTTGGAGCCTTATACTCATCTTTTACCCTAGACAAGCAAGGACCTGTACCTGGGCAGGAATCTTTAAAGCACTAAACTGTCAAACCTAAAAAAAGAAAAAAAGAAAAAAAAAAAAAAAAGGCTCAATTTGTGACTATAAAGCGACTCTAGCTAAAAGGATTTGGTCAAATAGCTGACTTCCCTCCTCTTCATTTCCAGATAGAAGTATTGCTCTATAATGAAGGCCATTTATCTACTAAAGGACTAAAAAGCTGAGAAATGCTGAGTATGTAAATTCTGTAGGTGTGTCTGAGCATCTGAAGCTACAGCTATTGACCGTGATCAGTGCTGTACTACAACTTGTAAATAGATCAGTATAGATTTAGCAATTTACTTTTCATTGTAGTGGAGAGTGTGGTTTTGCTTTTAATTCAACTCATTTCTAAAGTATGTAAGCAAATTTTACTCTCAGGATAAGTTCAGCACTGTAAATAGTGAAAATTTTGAACAGTTGTGATCATGTGAAAATAGGAAGCTCAAAGGAAAGTTCTCTGCTTCTGGTTTGGTTTTAGATACAGTTCAGGTAAGTCTGTGCTTTGTATCCCTACCTCAGTTCTGTTTGCCCAACATGTTTTTCAAATTCATTATTTACAATTTATTTTCTGTAGTTTGTGATAATTATGATGTACATGATAGATAAATACAGCAAAGGGAAAAACACAAAGAATTCTGACTCAATACTAATGGCTGAGCAAGATATTGCGAATTATCTGGCTCAAGTCTTTAAAAGATACTTAAGCAGTTATCCGACAGTCTGTTTCAATAGCTTTCAGGCACCCACATATCTTTAAAGGCTGCGATTGTGAGTTTAGATATTTTTAGATATCTTTTAAGCTAGTTTCTTCTGGCTAAACAAATAATGAAGAGTTAAATTGCACCAAAGAGCATTCAAGTTAATGAAAACTATGCCTTTGGTTATTTTCTCTGACTTTAATTCCATTTGAAGTTTGGTTTTATTCTCATTGCATATTTCATGGTTATAAAGCTAGAAGAGGCCATTAGATTATTTAGTTCAAGCTTCTGTATAATGTAATTTCCTAACGTCACCCTGTTATTTATACATTTAGCTTGTAACTTCTGTACAACAAAAGCTCAAATAAAACGTATACTTCGTATAGTGCTTCTATTAAAAATATTTCTACTAAAGAATACTTCTATTCATTTCAGATTTGCAGTGTCACTTTATTTGAAGATCCCAACGGAGTTTTTGTCTTGTATTTTAGCTCTTAAAATAATTTTAAACAGTTCTGGCAGTAGTAGAAAAAAGGCTCTTGGGTACATAGCTTAGTTGTCTAGTTTCTAAATAGTTTAAATGCTTGGCCTGTAGAATAAATTATGTATAGCTTGGATTTAAATTAACAAAGAATACTAGTTTTCCTTTGGGAAATAGCTTTAATTTAAAAAGAAAATTATGTTTTTTATGTAAGTCTCAACTGGGAATGCATTTGCTAGCAAAATAGCTATTTGGTGTTTTGAAAATTTAGTTCTGCATAAGCTACAGGCTCAATAAGAAGTCAGCATTAGCCAGAATGCTGAAGAAGAATAGAAGAACTAAGCCACTGATGCACTGATCTCGGCTTGGTTAGTAAAGAAAAGACTGTAAATTGAGTTCTTGTAAAATGTGTCTCAGAAAATGAATGTGTGCAAGATGGAAGTTGTGGATATTTTCTTCTCCCCTCCACTCTCCTGGGGTATAAGATGCTGCACGGGCACCACCACAGGTACCGAAACCTGGCTTTTGTGTACCAGGTTTTCGGAGCTTCATTTTTTTGTTGGATTTTTTTGGTCTCTTTCTTTCAATATATCCAACAAAGCAGCTTTGTTCTGCCTTCCCATTATTGTAGATTCATTTTGTCATGGCTCTAGGTTACACCATGGAAGAATACTGAAGCTGCTGGTTTGGATCCATAGATCTTTCACTTAGACGTTGAAATTTCCTCCTCTCCCTTTTAGTAGGCTTGGCAGCCTCGGTGCTGTGCTGTAGCCAGTCTTTCACAGGGTGTCTTTGCCAGGTTGCTTCCTGATGCAGTCCAGGTGCTCCTGCGCTATGAAGAAGGTCGCCCTTCTTCCCTAACCTGGCCAGTAGGAAGACAACCCCAGCGCAGGGCCCTCCTCAGTCCTTTTCCTACCCCAGGAGCGGTGTGGCCACAACTTTCTGCATAAAGGGGTGAGTTATTCCTTAGACAGGTTCAGACTCTTCTGCGCACACATATCTGAAGTTGCTTTTTCTAAGTACTAAGTTTCTAAACGCTAAGTTTCATTTGTGTGACGCCAGGATCTGTGCTGTGGTTGCTGCTTCTCTATTTTGAAATAACATTTCTCAGACTTCAGCTCCCCCCGCCCCTTACGTGCCAGTTTGACGCTTAGGACATTCATTAGGGCTTGGGTGCTTTGTTCTTTGTTGTGTTTTTCGGGGGGGGGGAGGATGGGAGGGAGTTACTCTTTGTCGAGGTGAGCCTCCTTAACTTTAGGTGTTTGGTTAAGCCTTCCGCTCACAGTAGAGCGCTCTCTGCCTTCACAGAGATGCTGGTCAATAAGGCTGTCGTCGGTTTCGATGGGTGAATGCTTTCCTGATATGATCAAGGGTCTGTGTGGAAGAGGGTAAGATCAACAAGACATTTGGACATGGGTCACAGAAGAAAACCATCGGACTGTGATGTTAGGACACTGATCATTTTACACAAAACCACAATGTGAAAAGCTCTGTATCCCATTACAAAGTAACAACAGTTCTGGGACCAGCCCTTATCGTAGGATATGCTTACAGCTGTAGTTTTTGTTTTCCCAGATAATGCAGCTATCTGAAAAAGAGGAAAGTCTATGACTTTTTAACACCTGCCTCCTACAAAGGGTGTGCATTTGTGTGTATACGCTGTGCCATATGCATGACTCCAGAGTACTCAAAACTGTTCTCTAATCCTTTGAACTGTGTAACTCCAAAGAGGTATCTAGGATCTTTCTGTACTGGATATTTTCAGCTGGGGATAGATTCTGCTAACTTTGAGTATTTTATTGGTTTTGCAGGCCAAGAACTATTCCGCTTCTAGAAAGAGCACTGGTATTTGTCTTAAAGGTTTTGCCATGCATAAAAGGGAAGAAGGTGTTATTTCTATTGATTCACCTTCAGATCACGTAGCAAATTTAAAGAGGAATAACTAAGTGAAGAGAAATTACTAAATGGCAGAAGGGAACAAGGAACATGTTCCTGGGCCTAAATCTAAAAGGTCATATACCTGGCATCTTATGAATGTCAAGTCTGAAAAAGAAAAAGCAGTGTAAATAAACCAGTGCCTTCGCATTGTTGCTCGGCAAGTTCCCTCACTAGCTCTTGCTGTCCTTCCTGTCAGGATCTGTCACTGTGAGGGAGATGATGAAAGTCCCCTCATCACACCATGTCGCTGCACAGGGACCCTGCGCTTTGTTCATCAAGCCTGCCTGCACCAGTGGATTAAGAGCTCAGACACACGCTGTTGTGAACTCTGCAAGTACGACTTTATAATGGAGACCAAGCTCAAACCTCTTCGGAAGGTATGCTGCTTTTGAATTTAATTATTCTCAAGTGTTAAATGGCCAGAATGGCTGTGCAAAGTACTGGCACAATTAAAGACACATCTGCCTGCCCAAAATGGTTGTGTGTGTACTGTTGTTAAATCAGCCCCACTCATTTTATTTCTATATTTAAGGTAGTTAATTTACAGTAGCAGAGGATTTTGACTAGACTCTCTTTCAGCACACATGCAATATAAACTCACAAGTAATAGTTTTTTGTGTTTAGATTTTTTATCTTCATCTTTTTGCTATTGGCTTGTCTGCCTATTTTTAAACGAGACAAAAATCTTACTCATCACATTTTGCTCCTGATTAACACGGGCCAGTTCACTCAGTAATTTTAACACCGAGCCCATAACTTCTGTTTGAGAATGTTGCTTATGCCAATATGGAGACAGCAATTATGAAGTAACACAGTCAATCAATTTAGCTGCATCTGTCCTGTTACACTTGTGAGCAAATTAATCACTCGTACATTAAGATTAGTTAATGGAATCTAAACTACAGGGCAACCTTGCATCCTGGAAGTCAAAAGTATGCTATCTGTGCTCATCTGTTTTCCAGGACAAATCAATTTAATGGTACACAGGTTGTCAGTATGGGGAAGGTGAAGAGTTTGTTAAATATATGTGGGTTTTGTTTTCTTTGGAGTGACTCATTTCTCATCTAATTTTTCTCTAAAACTCAGCTCATCCTTTTTGGGTTTTGTTGCAGAAGTTTGAGTCCGTCTAGAACAGGGCAAGTTTTGATTTAAAATAAAATTCAATGTGAGAGCTCTTGAAAAACATGTAGAAACTATTAGCCTGTAACTAGTATATGTATACGTAGTAGTGTTTTGATGGCAAAAAACATTTTGTTACTGTCAGCCTTGCACAGGTTAGCAGCAGTTCAGAGAAAGGAGAGCAAATGGAATTCCTTCTCATTTTGCATCCAGAGAGATTTTTCTAGTAAGTCTCTGATGATAAACCACTTTCAAAGAGAAAATTTGGACTGATTTGACAGGCAAAGCTTGTGATAGGAAAGGACGCAGTTCTCAAGTGCCAGGTAGATCTTGCCAGGTAGACTGGGAATCGAAACAGATGTAAATAAAAACCTGATGGCTAAAATCTTAATTATATTGACTTAGGTTTTAGTAATTGCAGATCAATTTTAACTACTGTGACAGGAAGGAGATAATCATATAAAATCCCCCGCCTGTAGCATATCTTTTGGGGATTTTTTTCTGTATATATGTTTCTATTTTCAACACAAATTGCTTTAACCTTCCATCTAACAAGTACGCTTGCAACAGCTGCTTTCCCAAGAGAATATATCAATACCAGTATTTTTAACAAAAGCCTTTTCCTGATTGTGTTAGAAAACAGAGCATCTTTTAAAAAAATGAAACAAAATCTATAGTATCCAAGGAAAAAAAAGGAATGAAAAATGAGCATAACTGTTGATATCAGAAGTAGGCACTTTTAGCTCTGTGTGTGTGGTAATTGCCACCCTCTCCCCCTTTCATTTCTTTAATTGAAAGAAATTACTGGAATACTGGCAGATTTAGAGTGGTAATGTAATTCTCACAAGTCTGTCATTTCTTAATTGAACGATTGCCACCTTATTCAGTTTATCATCAGTTCTCAGGTATGTTTTTGATTCTGACATAGGAAAAGTTAGCCTCTTCTTTCAGACAGGGTATTTTTGTTTCTGCTCAAAGCAGTACACAAATGTCATTTATCTGCCTGGCAGTAAATGTTGGCAGATGCTTTCTTATAATTTGCATTCCTTTCAGAAACCAAAACTAAAGTTTCCAAAAATGTCTAAGTTATCATGAGTTATCATTTTCTCATTTATAGCATTCAAGTGTGACACCCTTCATATGTAATATTAACCTAATTATATCATCCCTAATAAGTGTATGCACTGTCATCGCCATTGTTCACAAATTTATGAAACACTAAACAGTTTATGAGAAGCTGTTTTGTAAACCAAGCATTTTTGATAGCTGTAGCAAAGATGAGTAAGGGAGAAAAGAGTGATCATCAAGAGACCTGCCAAGTAAGTACAGCTGACTGGTAACTTTCCACTCAAACATCTTTTGTAGAAATCACTGAAAGTGCTGTTTTGTCAAAACCTGTATATTCTTCCAAAGTGGAAAGTTCCGATAAAACACTGTCAAATTCCTTGCAAACTTTTATGGAGCCCGGAACTTCAGCTGTGGGGAATTCCCTAGAGACCAAAGTGCTGTGGGACAGGCAGCTCCTAAAGCTTGAAGCTCTCCACAATCCTGTCTGCTTGATGCAGGATCCAAAAAGCACTGCAGACTTGGTTTTGCAGACCTTGAGAGCTTTAGCTTTTGCTAAGGCTTGGCTATGTAATAGACCCTGAGAACCTTTAGCCTCCAGCACTAAGTCTAGCCTGGCAGCAGTGAATTAAAATTTCACAAATCTCTGGAATTCTCTGGCTGTAACAACAAGGACATTATGAGCAATGGTAGTCATAGCTGAAAATGATGCAATTCTTGTCAGCTTTGCCCTGTACTAAGTGGAAACAACAAAATTAGCAAAATTAACAAAAAAAATATTTATTTTGCTAATAAACTTTGAGGAATTCTGAAAACAGATTTCATTTCAGTGTTTCCTGAATAAAAGTTCCAACAGAAGAGTACCTTTTCAGCTCCATAAGAAACTCATTTTGTTAAAAAAAAAAAAAAGGAAATTATGTCCCCTAAAGTGAAAATTTCTGGCCAGCTCCAGAAGATGCCATTTCCATGGCCATTAGACGTGGATTTGAAGTGGCATTATACAAGTGAAAGGGTCACATCTCTCACAAATTTTGATTTCTAAACTCTACCTTACTCATTATGTGACATTCTAAAGTTTGGTTCTTCGATGTGCATTCCTTCATTATCATGAAATTTATCGTAATACCTTTGTAACATTCCAACCGCTGGGAGAAAATTACAGACCGCAGAACTTAATTATAGGTATCTATAATTTTATTTTTGCAGTATCACAAAACAAAATTTAAATATAAAACAAACTATTTGATTCAGTTTCCATCTTATCCATGCCTCAGCCTTTCATGTACTCGCAATGTTTCCTTACAGGTTTTTTATGAAAGTCTAGGGTTTTATAGCAAAATCATGTTTGAATATTGTGTCATACAGCTGTTAGCACCCGTAAGTGACAACATGCAGCACACTAAGTTAACATAAATCAAGATACCTCTATTAAATCAATAGGCTTGTGCCAATATGCTACAGTTATTTAATTACAGAATCCCTGAAAGCACCAGACATCAAATAAAACTTAGTTTAATCATTTTAGTGAGTCTTTGCATTGAACTAATCCTTTTAAGCATTGATCAACAGGCACTGCAAGTGTTTCATATGTTTGAGCAGGTCTAATTACTTAGCTAAATATAAATTTAGATATTAAACATTAAGCATTGCTTAGTGTGTCTGTTTTATTTCTTGTGGTCTCTATTATGTCTGTCTATGGTTATAAATAATACGGTTGCATATATAGCTTTACCTTTCAGCATTTGCAATCCATAATGCAGAATTTCTCATTTATAAAGTGACTTTATTTACCATGGAAGGAATTTGGAGAGTGGCAAGAAGCTGGTGTGAGTTCCTTATTGCACTCTCTCAGGTGATAGCTTCATCCTGAGAAGATCACTTCTTTCAAAAGGATGTAATCCTGGTAAAGTAGCACATGCATTTGGTAACTCGAATTTGGTGTTTGAAGCATAGTAGAAATAGAACTGAATGAAAATACTGTGAGTATGAAATGGATTAAAGTGTCAAATTAAAAGGCACTTGAAATGCAGAAAAGTCTTCAAATGGAGATTCCTTCACAGTGTCTTGATCTACTTCAAAATACCTTTCTTATTTAAATTTTGCTGTCCATTTAAGATGTCTGGTATACAATGAGATGCTTTGATGCATTATCTCAACAGATTATTCTGTGGTGTTGGATATATCTATTTTCTCTTCTGACTTTGTTTTATCTTTGAAATAATTTACAAATAATGTCTTACTGATGTGAGGTATAAGCAATATTGCACATTGTTACCATGTAGATACACTTGGTCCGTCACTAAGGAAGGGCAAGTCAATTTTTTGTTTGGGGAAGCATTATGTACCAGTTGAGGTTGATTGTCTTTCTGATAGAAGGGGTAACTGAATTCATCCCTGTTAAAAACAGAGGATTGGGAGTGGGTTTATAGGACAGAGTGATATGTTTCTGTTAGACAGAAGCAAAGCCAATCTTAAAATACTGATAATGAAAGAAACTTGATCTTCTTATTTTGAATGTGTACATATATCTTATAAGTGTTTACTCCTCTTGTATTCTGCATGTGCTTATATGATAAATAGCACTTTAAAATGTGCTACAAGGTGCCTCTTTTGGTTTTAAACCCTTGAACTCTGTGGAACTTCTCATGTACGCAGCTGCTGTCATTAGAGTAAAAGGAAGGAATGCTCTCTCTCTGCCTGGTATCATTTATTTTGTAAATAAGAGTGATAAAATGTCCATGCCAGTTTTAACTCCCATACAGAATTCAATGGTTTAAGTCCCAGTTGGAGATATATGGTTCAGGACTGCCCAGAGCAGGGTATTTAGGTTCTAGAGAGGAGTTATGGAACTAACTCAAATTTCCATGGAAAGCAAAACCTAGTTCAAGCATATCAGTGTCCCTTTGCAGGTGGATTAGTGATTAACTGGTTAAATTGGTTTGGGTGAGATTTCAACTGTTTGATATGATGCTGATTTAATTATTGGCTCAAAAGCAAATATTTTGTTTTACTATAGGAGGTTAAAGATACCCTGTTTGCAAGAAGACATAGCATCAGTAGGAGCTGTGTAACCAATTAAATGAAGGTTTAAGCCAGCAGACAACTTGTGGGTAATGCCCAGCTGTAAGACAGAGAAATCAGCAATTCCACAGGCTCCTTATAAAAAAAAGGTATATTACCTATGGAAGCAACT